TAAAATGAATCTTCTCTAAGTTTAATTTTTTTTTTAACTTGTAGACACTGTTGATTCCATTACTCCAGACAAAGTGCGAGGTTTAAGGGATATGTTAAATAGCAGTGCAATGGACATAATGTATTATACTAGCCCACTTTATAGAGATGAAGTAAGTATCATGGTTATCTTATTGCTGTTGGGTATTTTTTTGAGTGATAACATGTGTCCTGAATTTTAACATTTTATGTTCTTTTTTTACAAGCAAGTGAGAAATTATAGGAATCCATTAATCTATAAATAGCCTGTATTTCATAGTGCATTTGAAGTCTTAAACTGCACACTGGGATGCTTAATAAAATGGGTAACCTTGGAAGTGAGAGGTTGGTTAGAAAATAGCTCTTTGAAAAATAACAGTTTTCATAAGTCTGATTAGTAATATCTATGAGTATTATCCTCACAAAAGAGCTTTTTAAAAAATATTTATTTATTCACTTGGCTGTGTCAGGTCTTAGCTGCGGCATGCAGGATCTTTCATTGTGTCACACGGGCTCATCGTTGTGGTGTGCGGGCTCTCTAGTTGTGGCACGCAGGCTCTAGAGCGTGCAGGCTTAGTTGCCCAGACCAGGGGTCGAACCCATGTCCCCTGCATTGGAAGGCAGATTCTTGACCACTGGACCACCAGGGAAGTCCCACAAAAGAGTTTTAAACACTTAGAAATGTCCTTCAAGTGTTTTTGTATATAAAAGACTTGCTTTTATTGTGTCATTTTTATAGTGGATTTGTGTAGTTTTCAAATGGTAATTTTGCTCATGCATCACAAAGATAACCCTAAAGGGGGGCGGATGGGGACGGTAGGTGAAGGGAGATAGTTTATTCAGAGGGATGAGGGAATCTCTACCAATGCAATTTATCACTTTATTGGTAACAGAAAAAGAATTTTGTTTCATGGGAATAACCACATTAATTACCTAACATGTATTAACTTGTTTAATCCTTACCCTATGAAGTAGATATGATTAGTATCTTCATTTGAAGGTAAAGAAACTAGTACAAGGAGTAATTACCAGTAGAGTGGCTCTGCTGCTCTGTGCTACTCCAAGCCAATCCGTTGCTGATTTTGTTCATTCAGAGTCATTCCCTAACTTAATCCAGGATATCTTTTACATATCGACAGAAATATGTTTGGTTAGTTGCCACAGAAAATTCCTTCTCTTCCAACTACCATCCCCTTAGGATTTTTCTTTATTCCTCTTTCTATATCCCCTCATTGCCATATACCAGTATTGGGCAAGATCTGCCTTGATCTGATTGAGAACAAACAGTAAAAGGAGCTACAAGGAGAATTACTATTCTGGGCTTAATTCTAACCAAAAAGGAAGGCCTAGTCGGTGAAATAGAACACTTAATAATTTCCACGTTCATACTCCTTTATAGTGAACAATGGGCATCGTTAGATATGCTCTAAAGGTTAGAACACTGAACTATAGTATTGCAAGTAAACCAGGGGGGGGGGGGGAGGAAAGAGAAGGGCTGAGAGCATATTACTATACACACACACACACACACACACGCATGCACGCGCGCGCACGCGCGCGCGCGCCCATGCACACATGGTTGGTAATACTCCTAAAACGGTATCCTGAATCTTCAAGGCTAAAATGTGCTGAGTCATGTCCCCCAAAAGTAATAAGTGCTTTTTTAAAACTTTAAGTTGGCGTTAATATCCAGAAAAACTAAAAAGAGAAAAGTGCCAGACTCAGACGTCTGGCCATTGGTGAATGATGACTGAGAAAGTGATCACTTTTTATTTTGCTCTTATAGTCAAAGATAATTTTCCTCAGAATGGAATTGAATAAACCAGATAGATATTCAGTAGGAAAAGGGAACTGATCGTTAAGATAAATGAAATGGAAGGAGAACACCCAGTGTTTTAAATTAGTTGGTTTTTTGATCCAGTTGAATTTCATGGAAAAGCACTGAGAATTGTGTCTGAGATTCACCAGCAATCTTCAGCAATGTATCCCAAACATCCCTAATTAGAACAGTCACTTGTGGTGCTCATTAAAAATGCAGGCAAAAAAAGAACCCCATGAGGGGCATTGGAATTGAGGGTATTAATGTGAATTTATGATTTTGAAAATAAGTCAGTGTATGTAGATAACATCTATATATTTAAGCATATATGCTTAAGCACAGAAGTATATATATGCATATATTTCCTACCTCTGTCTGCTGAAAGGGCCAAGAAGCAGACACCCCAATCCAATGAGCATACCTAGCACCCAGATCTTTGCCTCTAGTATTTTTATTCTCCACTAAGAAAAAGTAGAGTTCCTTGGAAAAATGGCTGATTCCAGGGCTGGGGCAGGACAGGTCCAAGTCAAAGCTGGAAGAATTTGTTTTGACAGAAAGTAGAAAAATGCTCCAAAGAATGATGAAGCAAGACACAAGGACATAATAGTCAAATTAAAGAAGCATATCCCACTGACCAAATCTGGAACAATTTGAGCACCAAAATAATTAATTATTACTTATTGTAAGGAATTACTAATAGTACTTTTGTAGAATTATAATAAGGATAATGTACTAAGGAATTCTAAATCACTGAAAAATTTGTAAGTCTTTATCAATGATAAATAGATAAACAAATTGGGAAGAAGGGAGGTCCTTTGCTTCAGTAGGATGCCAAGGGCCTACTAATAAATGCGGAAGGAATGCTGGAGTTGGAAAGTCTAATTTTGCAGCCGTCACGGTAGGATCAGGTAGGGGAGAGGACTGGGCAAGAATCATCAGTGGATGCTAAAATGAGGGCAGATTTTTTGATGAGGAACAGAATATTTGCATGGTCTTAAAGTGTATCCTCTCAGGCTGCTTTTAGTTTAGAAAATAAAGGTATACAGTGGAGAGAAATCAAGCAACAACTTTATGGGGTGTTCCTGAGGGACACCCAGAGAAGGACACAGCATTATTTATGCAGTATTCCAATTATGAGGAAGCATCAGACAAACATAAAATGAGGAAGTTGTAATAAAAAAGTAGGAATGAGACTGTATTCTTTTAAAATGTTGATATAATAAAAGAGAAAGAATGGCTGTGGAAAATGTTCCAGATAGAGAAGATTAAAGAGATGTGATAGCTAATTATAATATCTCATCCTAGACTGTATCCTGTACTGGATCGGGGGAAATGCTACAAAGGATAATATTAGATCAACTGGCAAAATTAAAATGTGAATGGTAGACTAGATTAGATGAAATATATCAAAGTGAATTATGAAGTTGATAACAGCACTATGATTGTAGAAGAGAATATTCCTAGTCTTAGGAAATATACACTGGAGTATTTGGGGGTAAAGGACCATGACATATGTAATATATCCTTAAATGGTTCACAAAAAAGTTGTGTGTGTGTTACAGAAACAGAACAAATGATAAGGCAAATAGGAGGAAATGCTAACATTAGGTGAATTTTGGTTAAAGCCTATGTGAGGATCTTTGTACTATTTTTATTTTGCAACATTTTATAAATTTGAAATTACTCCCAAATAAAAAGTTAAGAAAAAAACTAAAAAATACTTTCACAGGTCCCTCTGGAGATCCTGATTCAGTGGGTCTGAGATAGAACCTGTGAATTTGTGTTTTTAACAGTTCCCCAGGTGATAACATCAGAGAAGTTTGGGAACATTGCTTAAGGCATTGTGAAGAACAAAAGAAAATAAAAGAAAAACTTAGTGAGAAGTGGGCAAAAATTGTTCTTATTCTTTGAAAAGGAAAGCTGATTTTGCGAGTCAAAGTCCATTTAACACAAGGTTGGTGTTAGGCAATATTTAGACTAAATTATTTTTCAACAATATGTTTCCTAAGGGAAGTAGTGATAAGTAACAGCCAGCAGGGGTTCTGTAGGATTGTCATGCCTGGTGAATTAACCTTGTTAGGTTTATTTGATAGGCATAAATAAGAGCCTTTTTTCTCTTCCCCTCAACCTTTGGAGTCAAATAGATGCAGATTCAAAACCAGCCACTTAACTAGCTTAGATCAAATTTCTCACTTTCTCAGCTTCCTCACTTATATAATGGACATAAAATACCTAGTTGATAAAGATTGTCATGAGGATCAAAGATATTATGATATATAAATTCCTTGTGCTTAGATTTTCAAGTTGTAATTAAGTATATATCTGTCTTTATATATTTCAAGGGCTACAATTTAAAAAAAAAAAAAAAAACGGGATAGACTTACTCTGTTAATTCTAGAAAGTAAAATAAGGATCCGTGAATTGAAAATACAGAAAGGGACATGTTTGGTTACTAATGAAGAACTGTGTTATAAGCAAAACTGCCTTAAAAATACAGAAGTGTTACAATGAAAAAATTTGTAAACAATGTAAGGTGATGGATTTTAACTAAACTTACTGTGATAATCATTTCACAATATACACCTATATCACATCATTACACTGTACACCTTAAACTTAAACAGTCTATCTCAATTATATCTCAGTAAAAGGGGGGGGGGGGGGAATTTTTTTTAAATAGAAGTGACCACTTCTGGATGAAGATACTCACAGGGGTGGATGCTGAGCTCCTTATCCCTTAAGAGGGGTGTTACTGAAGAGACTTTTATCTTCACAGCAGTTTAAGTTAGATCATCTCTAAGGCCCCTTTTCACTCAAGTTTCTGAGATGCACATGGGAGGACCCTAATTAGTGATTGTGCACTAAAAAGCTGTGCTTAGGGAAAAAGTTTTATGTATCAGTCAGTACTTCTCAGGCCATACTTTCTGAGGACCAGTTCTTTAAAAAGAAACTAACTCCATTCTATCAAGACATCATCAGAGAGCCTTTGGCTCTTTCTTCAACCCTAAATAAAGTAACATGAAAAATCCAGAGAGAACTGTATATCTTTTGTACATCTGAACTCTCTTTTCAATGGCTTTTAAAAATGAAGAACTTTAAAGAGAATTGTCATGGCCCTATCTTGCCATTGTTATTTGAAAATTGTTTAACTGATGTATATGACTAAAACTCTCTAAATTACTTTTTCTCATTAAAATTTCCTGCAACAGGGAGAAGGATAAATGACTAATTATATTCTTCAGCCCTATTTTGGGTGTTTGGATTCTCTCTTGAAGCTGCCGGGGTTTTTTCCTCTTCGGTTGACTTTCTTCATAAATTTTAATTTGGGGGCAGTGGTTATGAGAATTAGAAACTTTTAAACTTTTGAAGAGCCATCCAATGCCTGCGTATGTAAGAGGTTAGCTGAACTGATTAGATAATATTGTAGAATTAATAAAATTAAGATCACAGGGTATATCATTAATCTTGGTTCAGATATCCCAAATGAATATAGTTGGTCACAAAGGGATCGAGTGTTTCTATTCTTACATGGTAGGAGTCTTAAAATCAAGGCCTTCAAAAGTAAAAACTATTAACAAATGTTGCTTTTAAAGGAATTTATTTTATTGGAACATTAGCTTTTTCTACACCTCCCTTCATGTAGATTATAAATCAGGAAAATAACAAAATTTTAAGGGTTGGTTCATATTCTTATCACAGCCAAGTCCAAAGCATTACATTATAGCTCCCTTTGAAAAGAGCATGTAATTTGATATCACACTGCCTATTTCTTAAATTCTGTTGACTAGAATTACCTACAACCCATGTCTTGGGAGATTTTAATATGCATTTGCCACTAGTGTGGTCCCCAGAACTGCTGAGTCTGAAACTCTGGGATGGAGCCCAGCAATCTGTATTTAACAAGCCCTCCAGACCCAATACATGGTTTCAATAGCTTTAACCAGTCCTCAGTATTGCAGTGTAGAGCTCTGTGATGTCAGCAATCAGAAAGAACATTGCACCTTCATTCATGTCACTGCTAACCCAGCCAAGCATGAATGCTCAAATAATTTCCAGTTTGTATCTGCTAAAGAATGTTCAGTGAAACCTAGTGGAGGCTAAAGATTGAAAATGGAAGCAGTATATAATTAATGTTTGTTTGTCTGAATAACAGCTGACATATTAAGAAGGACTGAAGTGAGAAATTGAATATCAGGCAGTAATTTTATAACTAAATAGTAGTAAGCAATGATAGGAAGAGGAGAGGACTGCCTTAAAAGTCAGGTCAGGGCCCCGTATCAATGAATTTGAGTAACAAAAGAACCTTGTTCTTCCTACTTCATAGAATATCTCAGTAATATGTGTTAAAGCTAAATTTCAAGAAAGCAGTTTTAGAAAGAAAAATGGCTATGATACTCTCCACATTATTAACCTCTAAACCTTAAAAAAGTCCTGCTTTTTAAAAACAACTTTTTGCTCTTATCTATATTACCAACTTAGTGGGAATTTTGGAATATCAAGTAGATCAACATAAGCTTTTTCTTTTGTCACACAATGGGCTTTCGTTACATTACTCTTATCTAAATGCATAAAGTGGGACTTCCTGGCAGTGCAGTGGTTAAGACTTCACCTTCCAATGCAGGTGGGGTGCAGGTTCCATCCCTGGTCGGGGAGCTAAGATCCCACATGCCTCACAGCCAAAACACCAAAACATTTTAAAAAAAAACACCAAAACATTAAAAAAAAAAAAAAAAAAAAGCAATATTGTAACAATTTCAATGAAGACTTTAAAAATGCTCTACATCAAAAAAAAATCTTTAAAAGAATGCATAAAGTAATAGTATATATATGTTGCATATACAATATGTTAGTAACCCTGTTACCATAAACTCAGATATTCTTTTCATAAAACTGTGGCTTAAAAACTACAAGGTACAAGACTTTAGAATTGCATATGAGTCCATTGCAATGAAGAAGAAATATCCAGGACTCTTTGGAAATCTACTAGAATCTGCATGGAACTTTTTTTTAAATCTCTGGAACTGCTGGCTTAAGTAATTGGTTTAAGGACTATGAAAGGATCTGTGTGGGTAACATCTGCCTTTATTCTTTAGTGTTGATATGGATTATAATATTACATATACCTTTACTTCATTTCCTGTAGGGTTCTGAGTTAATTTTAATAACCTAGATATATTTGGCCAGTAATGTGTGTTTTTCTTCCTTAGTGTATTTGAGTTTAGAAATAAAGTTTATAGTAGTCAGTGATTACTCTAATTTGATGTTTTCTTGTTTCAAACAGCTAGTTAAAGGGCTTCAGCAAGAGCTGAACCGATTATATTCCCTTTTCTGTTCTCGGAATCCAGACTTTGAAGAAAAAGGGGGTAAAGTCTCAATAGTGTCACATTCCTTGGGATGTGTAATCACTTATGACATAATGACTGGCTGGAATCCAGTTCGACTCTATGAACAGTTGTTGCAGAAGGAAGAAGAGTTGCCTGATGAACAATGGATGAGCTATGAAGAACGTCATCTTCTTGATGAGCTCTATATAACTAAACAACGGTAAAATACCCTAATCTCTTAAAAGAATTTAAAATGTCTTCATGGAATCACTGGACTTCTTAGGTGAAAACTTAAGATTTTCATAATAAAGAAAAAAATACATTGTTTCGGGTACAAAGATTATTGAATAACATGCCTAATCAAGCTAGAGACTTAATTTACATACTAATTAGGTGTTTTCCTATAGCATGGAATGAATTATTCTTCCATCTTCCTCTTTTTCCTTCTGTCTTTTCTTCACAGTTTATTAGGAGTGAAATCTAAAACTTATTCCAAGCTGAGTCACTTTGTAGAATCCTTACTGAAAATGTTTACTAGCTTGTAATCCTTCGTAGTTACTAATTCGTAGAGTTACTAATCTTAGAGATGGGCCTTTACCTTTCTTATTATTCTGAAAATAATTTTAAAGCCCTTTTTTTGTTGACAAATATATTTTTGACAGATTTTATAGTTATCATTTGCAGCCTTCCTGATACTATCTTTTGTTTTTGTTTTGTTTTTTTAAAAGAAGATGTTGGGGGTAGGAGTTTATTAATTAATTAATTTATTTTTGCTGTGTTAGGTCTTCGTTTCTGTGCGAGGGCTTTCTCTAGTTGCAGCAAGGGGGGCCACTCTTCATCGTGGTGCGCGGGCCTCTCACTATCACGGCCTCTCTTGTTGCTGAGCACACGCTCCAGACGTGCAGGCTCAGTAGCTGTGGCTCACAGGCCCAGTTGCTCTGCGGCTGGGCCCTCCCAGACCAGGATCCTCCCGGATCAGGGCTCGAACCCGTGTCCCCAGCATTGGCAGGCGGATTCTCAACCACTGCGCCACCAGGGAAGCCCCTGATACTATCTTTTAATTCTTTGCTACATTCCTATCTTCATCTTTAGTTACATGCTCTTTTGTTCTCTTAATGATCATGATTGATTCTAATAGAACAGTGAAAAGTCACTCATTTTGATAGTTAGCATTATATAAAAACAACCAATTTAGCTGACTTAAATTTTCACTCAGGAAGCGTTGAACTTATTTTTGTCTTATAGAAGTTGTCTAAGGATTTCATTTAGAATTTTATTAAGTACCATAGGAAAAATACATAAACTTTTTAGTGTCAGAAATAATTGTTTGTTTTGAAAGAAAATGTCATGTTGGCAAGCCTCAGAGCCATATTGTAGACATAAAATCCAGTAAAACAAATTTAACAGACTTAGATACAGAACATTGTAATAGGAAAAAGTTGATATAACCCAAATGTTCATCAGCAGAGGAAGGTTAAACTGTGGTTTATCTGTATGATGGACAATTACACAGTTGCTGTAAAGACTGAAGTAGGTCAGGAGACAAGTGAAAAGATTGCTAAGATTCATTATTAACTGTAGAAGAAGGAAAGATATAGAATAGTGTATGTGGTATGAACACTTGCTGTGTTTTTTTTTTAAAGGTGTATATATGCTTGTATGTGCCTCACATTTTACTAAAGGTTTCCCCAAAAAAGCTATTAACAGCATGTATTGGAAGAATAGGGGTACTTTTACTAATTATTTCATAAACTTTTTGTTTTAGCCTTTTTTTTTTTTTTTTTTTTTTTTTCTGGCCGCTCCACACGGCTTATGGGATCTTAATTTCCCAGCCAGAGATCAGACCCGTGCCCCCTGCTTTGGAAGTGCGGAGTCTTAACCACTGGACTGCCAGGGAAGTCCCTTCATAAACTTTTAGACTTTCTGTACTACAGCAGGTACATTTATTAAATTCTGTCAATAAGGATTAATTTGAGGGATTGGATGATGGGTCATTATTTTCTTCTTTATGCTTAGTGAACTGGTAAACATCTAATACTTATGAAATTATAAATATGAATGTGTACATAATCTCATACTCCTTTCTAGGCTGAGAGACATAGAAGAACAGCTACATGGATTGAAGGCATCATCTATGACACAAACACCTGCCTTAAAATTTAAGGTAAGGAAAGACAGGTGATATTTTCATTGTTGATCTCAGGTTTTTTTTCAAACATCATTTGAAGCATGATGTTAGGGTTCAAATGAAATCCTAATTATTCTTTCAAATGAATTTTTTTTTTTTTGACACTTACAGTCTGTTGGACACTGCTGGTTTCTGGGTTTCACTAAGAATGGACAGGCTGGTTTCCTAGCCCTCAAAATATGTAACACAGTGTTACTGGGTCTATTAGCAGTATAAAGAATGATGTATGCATAAGAAGGAGGTTTAATTTTGCCTTTAAATGTTTACAAATGAATGACATTTTTACTTAATCTCAGTAAATTGGATATTGCCAAGTAGAGGAAAGGAGAAATGCTGCTCTGTTCTTGAAAGAAACAGCATAAACAAAGGCGTGGAGGGATATACCTTCATAGTACGTCCAAGAAACACCAAATAATCTTAAATTAGTGAGAAAAGAAAAACAGAGACAGATCTGGTAAATATCTAATATTTAGAATTTAACAAATCTCTGTGACCAACTAGTGGTATGTGGTAAGAAAAATAACTGGAATTATATCAGTGATGATTCCAGGGATGGAAAGCTGACATTTTAATCAGTAAGAAGTGTATGATAAAAGTACAAGATGAGGTGCATGCAGTTAGTTTGGAGCAAAGTGAGCAAACCAGTTTGGCTAGAATATACAGGATAAAGGGCATGGAGGCTGTAGGAAAGCAGGAAGAGCTAGAAAAAGAGACCTTATGTTTGATATGGGCGGAATAGAGCTGTCTAAAGCAATGGTTTAGAAGAATAAAAAGTTGCAGAGAGACATTGACATTGACCTGACCATTGGAGAAGACACAGCCTATACCTGAATAACAATTTGTTTGCAGTGTTAAATGGAACATGACGTAAGTTTCCTAATACTCATTTCCAGTTGAATATATGCCCATGTCTAGTGTACTATATTGTTTGTTCTTGATATCTTTTATCATGGGAACTTAACATACAGATTAAGCGATGGAATGATGCAAAAATTCTTATTGAATCTATCTCTGTGACTTATAAAGGTTTTTTTTTTTTAACTTATACATTTAAAAGTCATATGGTAAAGTTATAAGATACATTTAAAAGCCATAAGGGTGGGAGGGAGATGCAAGAGGGAAGAGATATGCGGATATATGTGTATATATATAGCCGATTCACTTTGTTATAAAGCGGAAGCTAACACACCATTGTAAAGCAGTTATACTCCAATAAAGATGTTAAAATATAATAATAAAAATAAAAGCCATAAGAGCATGGTCTTTGGAGTCACCCCCCACCTGGAATTTGAGTTCCATCTCTACCACCATTATTATATATAATCAATGTTAAATATGTAGAATTGATCTGATAGTAAAAGTAAACTCTTCTATTTCATGTCCTGGGTTTTGTACTAGAGAGTTGAGTACAATCCACTAAGTATATTATTATCTCAAAATTCAGTTATCACATTACCAGAATCGATGCCCTATAATTGTGTATCCTTCTAATACATAGTCATGTAGTCTAATAATATGAATTTTTAATTTAATTACTTATAGAGAAAAAATATAGAAATCTGAAATTTAGAAAGTAATATATGATGAATTAGCAAGTTAATATTTAGTACTCCCGAGTTCTAAAAGAAACAGGTCTTTTTATGCCTGTTAAGTGGCAGATGGATTTACTTTCATAAATAAAATGTTAGATTTGTCACACATTACCATTGAACTTTCAAAAGAGGAAAAAAATGTCAACAAACATTGGTCTAGAGAGTGGGAAGCTTTGGTTGTGATCATGAGGCTTTGACACTAACTAGTTATGTAACATTAGCCAAATCAAAATCAGTTAACATCTCTGAATTCATCTGTTTATTCATCTCTAGATGAGGCAGTTAGACTAAATGTCTAAAGCTCTTCTTCACCTTTAAAATTATTTGATGGATATAGATAACACTAAAGCAGTCGTTACTCTTATCTGAGAGAGAATAATTCCTTTGTGTGTCTACCAAACTGCAAACCAATCATAAACAAAGAAAGAAAAGTTGGCTTATCCAATTCTTTATTTCTTGTCTTAAATTCTCAATTACCTGTTAGGTATGTTACAGATACCTCAAACTAATTATGAACAAAAACATGATTTACTTAGAGTATCTGTTACAATTAATGGATTAATTAATATCTTCCCAGTCAGCCAGACCCAAATCTTGTGAATTGCCTCTGGCACTTTCCTTATCCCCATCTCCATTCATTCATGTTGATTCCATCCTAATCTCTCAAATTTCCATTTCTGAATGGAACAGCTTGTCCTCCTGGGTGCAGATTATCTTTTGCCTAAACTCTTTCAACAGTTTTCTAACTTGTCTCCAAGTCACTAGCCTCTTAATTTTCCAGTTCATTCACAAGCTGCTACCAGATTTACTAACCTCCTAAAACATGGGTCAAATCCTATTGTCTTTCACTACCTGTAAAATAAATTAAGCCCAACTCTTTTAGTCAAACAGTCAATGTTCTGTACATTCTCATTCCAAGCTACATTTTCCCCACACTCAATTTTCAACCATATCAGGTTATTTTTATTCTCTAAATTAAACCAGTTTCTTTCCTCCCTCTGCTTTAGTTCATGTGGTTCTATCAGTATGGAATATCCTTCCAGCCCCAGTATATCCCAACCCCAACTTTGGAACTTTGGAAATCCTTTTCATCTTTTATGGCCAGTGCAAATGCTTCCTCCTTTGTAAAGCCCTCAAAGTTGGGATTAATTATTCCTTTGTCTACTCTCCTGTAGCACGCTTTCCCTCTATTATGCACTATTTAATTCTGCCTCTCCCGCAGGATTGTAAACTCTGAGTGCAGAAGCTCTGCCTTATTGGTCTTTATATGTTTTAGAATACCTAATATACTATTACTTTACACAAAATAGTAGCTTAATAAATCTTCCTTCTCCTTATTCTCATTCTTCATTTTCTATTAGATTTAAAGATAATGAAGTTGCTCCTGGATAGACTGTTTAGAATAATTAATGGTTGTTATATAGTTAATAAGTAATGCAGATACCATCTAGACAAAGCTCATTTAAAAAGATATATATTTGGAGATAAATTTATTATTTGTATTTTACCATATATTATGTTGTGCCCAAATTCTTTGAAAAACACTTCACTACTTTTAAAATTTAGGATGACTTTATCATTGTAGGTTGAAAATTTCTTCTGTATGGGATCCCCGCTGGCAGTTTTTTTGGCATTGCGTGGCATCCGCCCAGGAAACACTGGAAGTCAAGACCATATTTTGCCCAGAGAGATTTGTAACCGATTACTAAACATTTTTCATCCAACAGATCCAGTGGTGAGTTGCAAATATGGACATTTATCTCTCAATATTAAATTTTTCCTAAGAGACTCTGTAAGAAATCTTTCAAGGTACTGCTGAATTTATGAGAAAGTGTTTATTTACAGACATCTCTCGTAGATACTGCGTTTTTTTACAAACAAGGTTTGTGGCTACCCTGCATTGAGTAAGTCTATTGGTGCCATTTTTCCAACAGCATTAGTTTTTAATTAAGGTATGTATGTTGTTATTTTAGACATAATGCTGTGGCACATTTAACAGATATAGTGTAAACTTAACTTTCATATGCACTGGGAAACTAAAAAATTTGTGTGATTTACTTTATTGCAGTGATCTGGAACCAAACCTGCGGTATCTCCAAGATGTGCCTTTATCTGTTACATTTGCATGAGTTCATATTTTTAAAATATTTGTTCTTTGATTAGTTTAGGGATCAGGAAATAAAATACCTTAAAGATGTTCTGTTTATGTTGTATTTGTAGGATGAAAGCATAATGTAAAAATATTATCTTTAGACAATTAATCCAAAAGACAGGAGTCATCTGGACTTTCAAACCCTAACCAGTTGTAATACCAATAATGTAGCAACCATAAATTTTAAAAATCTCACTTTAAATACTTTTTTCTCTAAAGTATGCTGCAACATTGAAATGTGATTGGTAGATCCTCTTAGAAATGAAAATATTTAAATATTATGTATTAAACATAGAAAAGTGGAAGAATTTATTTTAGTTTGATGGAATTATGACATTTTGGATTTTTACATTCTCTGTATGTTTGTACTGTAAATAAATTTTTTAATGTAAATACTCCTAGGATCTGTCTGCATCCAGGTAAACAGTTTAATGCCAAGTATGATTTTTGGATGAGAAAAATTCTCCCTTAAATCCTCTTGGGGACAAGGCTAGATATAACTAGATTTAAGACAAACTATTTTAAATAGCATTTATTCTCTGAAAAATAGCTTTATATAATTCTATAAAGTCTTTTAAAAGATCTTTAGCTAGTACCAAAGAAATATAACATTGACTAAACACCAGAATTTTAGAAAATTTCTCATATGTTAAAGAATCAAAATGGTTATATTTAAGAAATTTCACTAAAATGGAATCTAGTATTAAATTCAGATACTGACTGCGCGATCTTGGCCAGCTCACTTCTGAGACTATTTCTTATCTGTATGATGCAGATGATAATATTTTACCTCATAGGGTTATTAGGATTAAGTAAAACATGTGCAAAACACCCAGTTAGACCTTGAGTATTTTGTTAATATGCATTCATTTAACTCACTCTCCTATAACTTGAAAGTGAACTTGAGATCATAGGTGAACTCTAAACTTTCAGTATATACCCTATACTTTGTACTTTGTACATCTTAAACTTTGTTATTCAGTTGGCCCTTGAACAACTCGGGGGTTGGGGTACACCCTGTGCTCAGTCAAGAATTGGGGTGTAACTTTACAGGAAGCCCTCTGTATCCACGGTTCCGCATCCACAGATTCAACCAACTGCAGATCATGTAGTGCTGTAACATGTAATTATGGGGGAAAAAAATCCATGAATAAGTGGGCCCACACAGTTCAAACCTGTGTTGTTCAAGGGTCAGCTGTATTATAAAGGAGGGTTCCAAACTCATTATTACAAATTATTTTTATTATTCCTTTTATAGTTCTTCTGTGAAAAAATTTTTTTAAATAGCTTATGTCAGAATTGTGCTAGGCAGTTATCTATTCTTCCCAACATCCTTGTGAGGTAGTAGGAAGTGTTATCTCCTTTCTATAGCTCAGGAAACTGAGGCTCTGAGACCTTGTGACTTGGTGAGTGTCATATAGTTAATAAGTGATAGAGGCCAGAATATGAACTCGGGGAATTCTGATGCCAAGTCCATTGCCTTTTCTGCTATATCATCCCTACTTCACATTAGACAAATTGTCTTATACCATCATCTAGTGTTCGTTACTATATTAATCTACTTAAAAGTAGGGTTTACTGGGAGCTTAGATATTAAAAATTGACCTTATTTGCTGTGTTCCAGGTTACTGTTTACTGCTTCAGTTTTGTTTGTGAGACTAATATAAATCTAATTGCTAGATGATATTAGAACATAATAAAAATGAATATTTCTCTGAAAAACAAATTAATGGGCACTATTAGCCTAGACTAATTGTTTTTTTATAGTCTCATCAAGGATCTATAATTAGACAGACTACATATTATTAACAGTGAAGAAATAAGAGCGCATGTTAAGAATATCAGGTTTTTAAACATTTGCTAAGGTCTACTGAGCATGCAATAAAATAAGAATGAACAGTTTACTAAAATCCAAGCATTGTACCTTAATGTTTTGTTTCTTTGAATTTTTTTTTTAAATCAAGGCTTATAGATTAGAACCGTTAATACTGAAACACTACAGCAACATTTCACCAGTCCAGATCCACTGGTATAATACTTCCAATCCTCTACCTTATGAGTATATGAAGCCAAGCTTTCTTCACCCAGCAAAAGAACCTACCTCAATTTCAGACAGTGAAGGCATTTCAACAATACCAAGCCCTGTGACTTCACCAGTCTTGTCCCGCCGACACTATGGGGAATCTATAACAAATATAGGCAAAGCAAGCATATTAGGTAACTTCTTTTCAGTATTCCTTATCAATGAATTTAAGCACTTTTATATAGACATTAAATTTTAAGTACTTGGAAATACTCTCTGTATTACAAAACATCCAACAGTTAATCCTCATGGTTAGTGTTAACCACCTTCTCACTGTTCATATTTGAGGGCAAAAGCCCTAAAGTTCTCTTAATTAGATCAGATCCTGTAGTTAAAGAATATGAGATAGCTGGATGCACAAAAGAAGATCGGGGAATCAAGTCCCTCATTTTAATCTTGGCCCCATCACTTACTGTGAGATCTTGGGAAGTCACGTAGTTTTTAATGCTCTGCTTCCTCATCCATGAAATGAGGGAGTGCTTGAGTACTAAGGGTGCCCCTGCCGACCAGTTCTCTGATCCCCGTCCTAAAAGTCTCTCGAAATATGTGTCCTTCCTGAGGACAACAAGGGTATTTAATTTCTGTTTGAATGATCTCCAGTACCAGCCACAATGGTGTAGCGCCAGAGTTCAGTTCTGTGCCACTTTAGTTTGTCCATTGCTTTTGGTTACAAGTTGCCTTATTAGTATAAAATGCCACAAGATGGCACTATAAAAAGGCTTTATCTGCTGGACTCATTGATATTTGACTTCGTCATAAAGATTGTTTATTCATAGCTTTTTATAACATATCCACTTAACCTCAGGAGTAAGCATATCAATAGTGAATATATGCCCATGTGAATGGCATGGTTCTTTTATTAACATTTTTAATCTTACGAAATACTTTAAAGAACAATGATCACGAATAAAATAGAATCTTTGTTCCTTTGTAAGCTATATTCCTGGAGTCTGTACAACTCTTACTCTATTCAACACCATTTTTATTTAGAAACCTACAATATAAATTGTAATTTTCTTATGTACCCACTCTGGAAAAATGTGACTAGGGCTTAGTCCCTCTGCCAGCTGGCTGTAAATATGGGTGGTGCTCTTTAGCCTGGTGTGTGGTGTAATTCAGCAGAATGACTGCCCTGTTTTGTGAAATGTAGGGGCTGCGAGCATTGGAAAGGGACTTGGAGGAATGTTGTTCTCAAGGTTCGGACGTTCATCTGCATCACAGCCATCTGAGGCATCAAGGGACTCTGTGGAAGACGAGAAGAAGCCGGTTGCCTCACCTCCCACGTCCACTGTGGCAACGCAGACCCTTGCACATAGCAGTTCTGGCTTTCTTGACTCTGCATGTTAGTTCATACTGTTCTTTACAAGTTTACACCGTTCCTTTTTAAAATGTGCGGAGCACAAAGGGTTAGGATATTAACACTAGCAGTCAACTCTTAATCTAACGCCTGCCTTAGCTTTTAAAGAAACAATGCTTTTTCTTCTACTTAAATTTTTAGGAATAATCCCTAGGTAAATGCATTTTTACTCTCTGCGTTGGTGAATTAAGTAAAGAGCATTAATAATTAGGGCCTTGTGGCACAGAGGTGTTACACATCAAGCATAAAACAAATCTCTTTGTGGTAAGCACTCCCTGATTTTTCTAAAGTGGTTTCTTTTTTTAATATGTCTTCTCAGCCTTAAAAATTCATGTAGTTGCTTCAAACCTATGCTGTATTTACTCTTGATACTTTTTAAAACTGCTATGCCAAAGCTGTCCTGGTGCTAATCCCTCAGTTCCCTTCATCCAACCGAATTATAAAACCTTAAGAGCTTTAATTGTATTGGATCCACTGTATCGCTTCCAATCCTATCCCAGCTACCTTGTATAAAATAGATACTCAAGAAATGAGTGAATGAAAGGATAATTATACTGGACTTATATTAGAATGGAGCTTTATTTAATTTTTTCCAGTGGATTTATAAGGTCTAAACTCTTGAATAGTTGTGAAACACTAATACACTTAGTATATATTTACTTCCAAGGATGTAAACTTGAACCTTATTTTTAAACGTCCAGTAAAATAAGACTAATAAGTCAAGTCCTAGTTTTCCATTGACTTACATAAGGAAATGTTGACTCTGAAACTAGCTACTTCCTTTCTGTAACTATAGCAAGAAAATTTTATTTTCTTCCTCTAAAAATCCTTAAACGTTTCATTTCAGATACTTAGAGCCTTGTTTTCTTACTGTGTCTGCTACTCTGAATTTTAAAACAACCAGCATTCATTGCCATGCGACAGTCCTAGGGGCTGGATCTTTCTCCAGAGTCACCTCCACTCCATGATGAATTATCCTAGCCATTTCTGAGTTGGACTTTCCTATTTGGGCCAATTCCATTTTTTTACCTTAATCCTATCTATGTCAGACTCTGAGTACTAAAAATTTTATAATTGCAAGCTTTTTGAACACTGCCTAGAAAATTCATTTCAGATTTTGATATTTGTACAAAATTCATAGTTTTCTTATAAGAGTTCCTATACTATTGCTGACTTAAACTCTCACTTCTGCTTACTATCAGAAATGAGATTGTGAAATACAAAATTCTGTTATAACATGCAGATGTCAAAAGAAAACTAAACTTCTGAGGAAAAATAACTTCAAAGAATTTTGTAAAATGGCAGGTAAAAAGTCACAATTCCTTGTAAAGTTAATGCACAGCAATGATGCTAGTAAACATTAGGGTGAACGAGGGAACAAGAAGAGCAGGGTATTTTGAGCCCAAGAGACGGGGTAATGAAGACATACAGAGAGAAGTCTATAGGGTCTGAGAGAAGAAACCTATCTTTTAGTTTTTCTACTATTTAACATAGAAATTTCAAAGTGATAATAAAGAAGAAAGCTATTTCTTCTTCCAGTACAAGTGAGTAGAGATGCTTAGCTGTATTGCATTATTATATTTTAATATCTTAACAGAATATGTTTTCTGTCATTCTAGCATATAAATTTTTGTTGGTCCTAATGGTAAATTACTTGCCAACTGTAGACTCAACTAACTGTGAGCTAATCATGATTTCTTAGTTATATGTATTCATCTTTAGATACAGATTTTAAAAGCCCAACTTTTAAAATTGGACCACTACTACAGGAGAATTACGCCTTTTAAATCAAATCCCCAAGATTCACCTTACTAATTCTTTGACTTGCTTCAGTAATACACTCTTCTGTGTAATCCTGATTTAGACAAATTTCTTAAGTCATAATTGCTATTTTGGCTATATGTTGCAAATCATAAAACCTTTCTTCCTTAAGTCTTCTTTCTGGAATTTGGTCACTGTGATTAGGTGATTCTGGCTTCCTTTCTTCCTTCCTTCCTTTCTGCTCACATTTGATTGCCTCAGTTCTTCTCGATAACCTTCATTCTGAAGCTATCGGCTTTGATTCTCTTGCTTTTTGAGGGTAAGATGGACACGGACTGTGAATTCATGATCAATCAGGTTTCTCTCTTTGAAGATTTAGTGTTGTCAGTTGAAACCATCTTATTGACATCAATTTGAAGCATCTTATATAGCTACTCTTCGTTTCTTTTGAAAAGTATAGGCTTATTTCCAGTGGTTTTACTGTTTCTTGTACTCCCCTGTGTTTGTAACATATTATGAAAAGAATCTGTTTCTTTTAGCATTGTTTTGCCTCTAGGTTAGAACTTAAATGAACTATACATTTGGGAGATATTTGGGTGTTAACAGATTATGACATTATATTTCAGAGTTAATTATGCTTACATTTTCCATGAAAGAGCTCTTCACAAAAACCAACGTGTGTACTTTTTTATGTATGCTAGGTTTAATCAGCTTATTTGGGAGTATTGTTCTAACTTTTGGCCACTGCATCACTGAAGGCCATTTGTAACCATCAGCCAACACTTTACAGCATCTTGTGTTTTTTTTTCACAGATTTCAGACTTCAAGAATCGTTCTTTAATCTCCCACAACTTCTTTTTCCGGAAAATGTAATGCAGAATAAAGATAATACCCTCGGTATGGTATATGTCAGGAATAGCATTCAGAGCACTATGAAAATGATCTACTTAGATTTCTCCTGCTCATTGAAAAATTGGATCAGTTCTATGAGATCAGCTTGAATGTTACCATTAATAGACTATTTTATATGTATTCTCTTCCTGTATTTTCTAATATTAAATATAGTGGTCCAGAAACCCCCGAGTATTGATTAGACCCTTAATGTGCTAAAATATATGATACTCCTATATGCTTCTACAAAGGAACCTTTTAGAGAGGGGAGAAAAGCATGAGGCCATTCTCTTTCTCCTCTATTGCCCTACAGCCTTCAAAGAGATTCAGTATTCTTTTCATGTAATATACTTAAAAGGATTTCATAGTATAAAGGATTTTATCATTTCTAATTATTTCAGATATTAATAACACTTCCCCTAGGGCTGTTGGTATGCCATAACTGATACTGATTTCAACACAAATATTTAATGTTCTTTAGAGGTGTAGGTTCGCTTTGAAAAAATTATTATTGGATGTAAGAGATATTTTTAGTCTCTTAATTTTCAGCAGATTCAAAATGTATCAGTAAAGATTAATCGTAGCAGTTTAAAATTATTTTCATCATTAACTTCTCATTCCTTTTTTTATAGCTTCTTTCTCTTTCCTTTTTTTTAAATATCGAACTTTACCTTTAACAAAAAAATAAGTTACAGGTGTTTCCTTGGATTTTTTAACCATATCTAATTTTATAATTTCTGTATTTATAATTGCTAATTTTCATGCATTTTTTCTATATATATTTTTTTTAAATCTTACTTGGTAATAGATTCCAAAACGTGTTTCAGCATAACAAGCTGATTTGGGTTTTGGGCTCTATAACAGCAGTTTATGTTGATCTAACTCAGTGAAATCCCCTCAAGAAATGATCTTATATAAGTCTTCTCTCTGGTCCCTGTTCATGTAATGGTCACTTCCATCGAGAAATAATTGATGTGTGCTTTTTGCATACTTAGTTGGAGAAAGGAAAATTAATCCACTCATACATTTGTCCTACATTCAAGTAGTCCTTTTTATTCACTACCTTAAAACCATCCCAGCTACCCAAGCAATTAGACCACTAATCATGATTGCACCACACTGATCTGATTCAGATGGTATTATGTATATGGCTTCTATTTTCTCTTTTCCTGTTTTTATTCATTCAACAATTTTACCATGAGCCAAGTAGGTAGTCACTAGAAAAGATACCAAAGATGAAACAGATTTCAGTGCTGCCCATAAAGATTTTAAATGCTGGTGTGGAAGTTACATATTTTTTAGAGGGCATATATTCTAGTAGGGAAGGTAGATAACTACAGGAATAATTATAATATATGACAGAATGTGATGAGCCACATAACAGAGAAACAGGTAAAGGCCTCTGACAGTTCTAAGGAAAGAGAAAATGATTTAACCTGGAGAAATCAAAAAATGCTTTGCGGAAGTAGGATTTGGACAAGCAAAGATGAAGAGACAGTACAGAGAGAATAAACAGCATAAGCAGAAACACAGAGGTGGGAAGCACAGAGTATGTAGAGAACCAGAAGTTAGTTTTGAGGAGAACTAAGGATGAATGGAAGTGAGTAGTTCTGAATATGATCAGGAACATTTCTCCAACCAGATGGTAGAGGATCCAATAAATCTGGGCATCTCCAGGAGTTTCTTTATATTCAACCCATGAGCCTATATTTACACAAATAGCCCATCTGTTGTCAAATGTTAGGTATATGAAAGTCTTTCAGGGTATATTAGTGTCGGGAAATTTGGGGGTTAGAAATGACAACTGATTATAAAACTCATTATGGAGCTTTATTTTTTTCAAATAAAGGATGGTTAGAGAATATTCTTAAATATATTTGAAGCTATGATAAGTCACAAAATGTAAATATTCTTTGGATGTCAAACACCTAAGCACATGAAATATATAGTCGCTCTGAGGCAGCACAAAAATAAGAAGACATAATTTATCAAGAACTCTGAGCACAATCTTTCTTATTGCAAATGAATCTTTCACCAGTCATTTGGAAACCCAGTTTCCTTTACCTAGTACTTTAAGTGGTTTTCTTGGTATCTACCTGAAGCAAAAAATCATGCAATTATGACCATAATTGTTATTTACAAATAAGATAACTTAAGATTCATTAAGTTTTTGAAAATTTCTCTCCAGGGAAGTTAAGACACTCCCATTAAATAGAAGAAACCTGTCTAGTTAGTACACATTATAATAGTAAGATGGTGACTTTCTATTCATATATTTTACTTTACAACACCATAATCCATGTTGACAGGCCCTGTGCACAAAAGAATTCTCTGCTGAAAGCACAGTGCAAATTGTTGATGATTGTTAAAAGCCAACAACCTTTTTTTTTTTTTCATTTTTACCTCTCTTTAATTGTTCAGGAATCTCATTTTTTTTTTTTTTTTTTTTTACCTCCCTTTAATTGTTCAGGAATCCCATTTTTTTTTTTTTTTTTTTTGTAGATAGAGGAATTTTAGCACTTAGGCACTCAAGAGAGAGAAAGAAGGACAAAGTGATGATTTTATGTTCTCCTTTCTTTTTGACCTAACTCAGTGAGAGAAACTCGGAAAAAACTACTAACCTGTATGGTGCCACCCCTTCTTGATATGTTAACAATGAGAAAGTGGGTCCAAGGCAACTCCGTGTAGATTTGGGCCAACTTTGGCCAAGAGCACATCTCATAGCACGTATATTGATGGAATAGTGCAGCCATGTAGTAACCCCACTCCCTTGGGAATTCTGTGATCTACAGAAAGGGGGAAGATGAGACATAGGCCCTCTTCATCCATCCATCCACCTGCAAAACCAACACAAATGTGAGGTCAGCTGCAATGGCAGCCAGACTACTGGGGTAAACCTTTTAAGGAAGATGAGAGGCTAAAATGGGTTCATCAGGTACAAGCTGGCTACCTAATTCCCATTTTGATGGGGACAGCCTACAGATAAATAGAAAGGGATAGGGAGGGGCAATCTAGTTAGTGACACTTATTGAAGATCCTCTGGGTGATGAGAAGTACAAGGGCATATAATATAATGGAACAATAAATTTATCATTTGCGTTTATAGTATATGAAAGGCAGTGTTGCACAGTAATAGCATATTAAGAATAAATTTCAGGGACATAAAATCAAAGTGGAGCCAAATAACACTAGTTGAAAATCTCCCTTTCTTTGACTTTAAGACAACAGTTCAACCTAAGACTTGGACTAGGAAGACATTCTACAGTGGCATTTAAAAGTGAATTCTTAGAAGTAACTTGGTGTGAGCTTCACCAATTTTACTGTGTATGTTTCCCATCTCTTCTGTTTTTCCTCTTATTTCTCCTTTTTTTTCTTTATAACTAACTTCACCTTGACTCCTCTTCATTGTGCTCGAGAATTCATGTCCTCTTTTCATCTTCCTGTCTGTTGTGCCAGAATGTACCTACCAATTTAACACAAATGTCCCATGGAATACAAAAGATAAAAAATTAAGACATTACTATCCTACAGTTCCACATGTGGCTTTCAACTATTTCTTATTATGGATTAGCTTATCATAATTTAAATGAGAAAAATACTTTGTATTTTGTTTTTAAAAAAACTTTGTAAAAAGCCTATGTTGATATATTTCATGGGGTTTTATAACCTAACTGGGTATTTATGCTGTTTAAGTGTAAACCTTATCTAAAAATGTATAGATATTTTCTGACATTCTTTGTCAGAAAAGCACAATTGAATAGAAAAATAACGACTGTAAATGCATTTTTAAATCACCAAATGGTATTGTCACAAAATACCTGTTTAAAATAAGCGTTAGCTAAACATTTATGTGAAATCATTCTCTAAAATGATGTGATTTCCTATATGCAACTACCAAATTTCCAGGGTAAAGCAAAACCCAACTTTTTCTCCCACCTCCTTAGTTTTTGCCAGTTTTTACTTTTCACATCTGCTGGTACTCTGAACAAAGAGCAGACTTTGAGTGTCTGAATAGTAGTGATTTCGGTGCTTTTCATTTTTAAGACAGACCCTTCAAAATATTGTATGGCTCATTGACAGTTTTAAAGGAGTTCCTGAAGATCAAATTATCGTTTTCTAAGTGTTTTATCTCTAAGGATTTGTTAGATGAACCGATCGCAATCTTAGAGCCTTGATTTGGTAAGGTGGTTTTTCTCTAACACGTATTGCAGGGACTTTCTGTGTGTTTAGAAAAGACGAGTGAATTCACTGAATTGTTTGAAGACAGCACTGTTATAAAATGAAATCCTTCCTCTCAAGAATTACCATTGTTCCTCCCAGTTTAACTTTCCTGGCCACCTAGTGGATTCTTTTATTGAACAAACATTTAATGAGCGTGTATGTCCCAGGTGCATGTTAGGCCCTGCTGACAGGATAGAGACTAGGGTGTGTCGTGGCTGCCTTTGAGGAATTCAGCCAAGTGGAGAGGAAAACGTGGTAGGACTGTAATAGATGTTATCTTCCAGCATGTCTCCCTGAGCCAGTTGATGTAGAGGGCCTCCCCAATGAAGGAGCCTTTGAGTGCCCTGTTGCACTCCGGCAGGCATTGTTACGTGTAAGCCTGGCCCATCATTCTGCAAGAAGGCTGTTTGCCTTATTTTACAGATTAGGCACAAAGATTAAATGGGAAAGCCAGCATTTGAGCCCACTTTCTTTATTCCAAATATACTGTGTGATACCAAGCGAGGTTTTTGTTTTCTTGCTTTATTATTCCATATTGACCTGAGCACACAAAGGAAAGGGTTCACCAAATAGAATCCTGAGCTGCTGAGGCTCTTGAGTATTTTTTCCTGTAAGATTAGAGTGGAAAGTCACTTTTTAAAAATTAGTAATAATAATTAGGAGAGTCACTTCTATTTGGTAAATTTTTATTCTCAACTCTAGTAAGTCTATATAGAACCAATCTTGTAATACTTATTAATTTGTTTGACTTCTTTTCTTTTTAGTGGAATTGGATCACAGAATTGATTTTGAACTCAGAGAAGGCCTTGTGGAGAGCCGCTATTGGTCAGCTGTCACATCGCACACTGCCTATTGGTCGTCCTTGGATGTTGCCCTCTTTCTTTTGACCTTCATGTACAAACATGAGCACGATAATAGTGCAAAGCCCAACTTTGATCCAGTCTGAACTGTTGAAGGACATTAATGGCCCCAGACTGATTTTTTTCTGTTAAAATATATGTGTCAACATATGGAGGTTTCAGGTTTGAGTATGTTTCACTTTTGTTTAGGGTAAGAAATATTTGAATTTAGAAGCACTTTATTTTACTTTAAAAAACAAAGCAAATGTTCAGTCCGAAAAAAGTTATTTATAGTTTTCATCATTTTAAGTATGAGTCTGACAGAACCCCCTGCAGAGAATCAAGCAAGGCCTGGAAGTAAGGACTTGGGTGGACTGCAAGGTTATAGATCACAATCTAATTTCTCCCAAATATAAAGGCATATTAATGGGTTGAATCTAATGTATTAACCAAAATATATTATAAATCTAAAATGATCAAGGTCCAGGGTATTCTACATAAAGATCACAAGGTGGTATCATTGTTTTCGATTTCCATGAAAGCTTCCATTTCCACAATTTCTTTGAAACATGAGTGTAACAGATTTTAAATGTTTTGAATTTAACTTGTTTAGAAAAACTAATGCTAAAATAGAAACAACATTTTAACTATTGTATTTATAGTTCATTACCTCTGACTAATTGTTTTATGTCAATGTATGAAACATTACATTTTTTTAAATGTTTCCTTTGAACAATTAAGAACCACATTTATTTTCTATAGTGTTAAGACCCTTTTTTCTCAGAACTCCATCTTTGTACTCTTCAGATGAATATATAGACACTGTGGCATACTTTCAGCATTTTTTTCATTAAAAAGTTGTAGTTTTACACAAATAACACTAGTTCAATTATTTTGAAAAAAAAATGAACTTTTTATTATGTCCCATGTACCGCAGAGAAAGCTAAAGTTTTCTAAACTTGACATGGAATACTCCATAATGGGTACATTTAATAAACTTTACTGGAAAATTAGTAAACTTCTTTGGAGTAGGGAGTATGACAACTAAATTTTAAGTATATAAGCATCTGTGTGCCAAACAATTAACATATAAAAAGGGGATGGAGTGCCACTAACAAATTTTATTTTTAAAGTGTTTAAGGAATCGTAATTGAGACATAGACACAATAGTTCAGGATTCTGGGGCATTGAAAGAGTTTCCTCAGCTGTAATTTTTTCCACAGTGCTTTTCATCTGAGGAGCTCAAAGTGCTTCGCGATTTAATAATCTATGTAGTAGCTTCTTGAGGTAAGTAAATGAGTGTTATTCTCATGTTACATGTTAGTACACTAAGGCACCAAAACATTTAAAGTGCCTTGATTACAGAGCAAATCAGAGCTCAGACTGAAGACAGACCATATTCTTTTATGTGCTGTTCATTGACTGATAATTCACATGTGACCTCTTGTTTTGCAAACAGTAATAATAACAGAAGTTGCAATTCATAATTTGGAGAAATGACTGTGAAGCCAGTACTTTACCCTACTCGTCATATACATTCTTGGGTTCTCACACTCAAAGGAGGAGGAGTTACTTAGAGGGGATCAGTAGCCATCTCTGCCACAACCAACCCATACTTCTGAGAGGCTTCCACTGGGTTCCACTTAAGGTGCTGTCTTTGCTTATCTTAAGCTCCCCAGGAATTGTCAAACTGGGAGCAAAGTTGGTCGGTCGTACCTCTCACCTTCTCCTTTCTTTTTAAGATGATAGAATCTTTGGATTACTTGTAGGTTTTACTCAGCACTGTCAGTCCTCTATCTGTTTTGGCCTTTCATTGAATTTGCACAACATAAAGCACTTCTTTTTAGTGCTTAAAAAGATCCCAAGGCTCCATGCCCAAATACGTGACTCACTAAGAAACTCTTGCTATAAAAGGCCTTTGATGCAATCTTAGCAAAGCTGAAGCAATGTCTTTCGAATTTAGAGATTCCTGTGAACTCAGGTCATTCTCATACCCTGTTTATTTCGTAGGTCTGTTTAGTTCTCAGGAGAATTAAACTCATATCCCATATGACTTTATCATTAAAGGTATGTGAGCATTTGGGTGGTATGACACTCAAATGCCTAAGAGCTTTAAGGGATTCATTCTCTTTTTTTTTTTTTTTGGCTGCTCTGGGTCTTCGTGCGGCTTGCAGCTTCTCTAGTTGCAGGCTTAGTTGCGGTATGCGGGATTTTAGTTCCCCGACCATGGATTGGACCTGGACACCCTGCATTGGAAGCGTGGAGTCTCAACCACTGGACCACCAGGGAAGTCCCAAGGGATTCATTCTTAACCATTAGAATGTGAAGAGCCCCTTTTACCTGAGAGAAGTGAAAACCTAGCAAACTTTTCATTTGATATAGAGTAAAAAGAAAAGTATATTCCCATAACTATAGGAATATACCTGCTTCCCTTTTTTCATATTGAGGAAAAAAATCCAATTTAACCACATGGAAGTTATTTGAGTTCTTGAAAACAGCAACATTCAAAACCCCCTTTTCAAAATGAGATATTCTGGATTATTGGATAGGGGTTTTGTTTTCAATTCATTATTTCATCAATAGAGATGGCAATTTTGATTTCACAGTACTCTTGTTTCCATGTCTCTGCATGTTATCATGGAATGTACTTGTATGTACTCAAGTAATATACAGAGTATGTGTAATTCTAGCTTGATTTAGAAGCTGAGTCAGTTACTGAGTAATATTTTGCAACTTTATTCCAACAAGTACTAAATTTTTGATACCATTAAAATTTTATTCTCTATTTTGTGTACCTGCTATGATGATTCTTCTGAGCACTGGTCAGATTGTTCAAACAATTTTAATCCAGTTAGGTCCCCAAGAATTATATAAACTTAGAATAAGGAGAACGTTTTGTTAGTTCATAACTTTATTTTCAACAGTAATTATGCTTGTGTTATAATCCAGTGTTACAGTATATTAGAACATATTATAAAATGTACTCAGTTTCTCATAGCAAGCCTTAGGAATCTTATGTTTGACTTCTATTAAATAGCATCTGTCAGCCTTTGGAAATTCTCACATTGAACATTCTGTAGAAGCCCTCAGACAGTGACATGTAAACATTCATCTCATTCTCATTTTCTCTCTGTTGTTTCCTTGTTGGGGGCTGAAGCATTCCGGTCATATCCTTCCCCCAAAGAGTAAACAGAGGAAAGGAAACCATCAGTGGAGTGTCACGGCCAATTCCACAACTCCTTCCAGTGATGACACTTGAGCCCTTTAAGGTGGAATCGGACCAAACCTAGAAAGTTCACTGTAAGGCCTACAGTAGAGGGAAAAAAACTGAATTGCTTTCTGATTAGGTTAGTTAATATTTCTGTCTTCTCAGCTGTAATGAGTAAGGCATTTGGACAATTGAGAAAACTAATTTGAGTGTTATGTCTTAACAATTGTTTGAATAATCTTTTGTTAGCATGGAAATGGGGCTAAAAAAGATACGCTATATTAAAGAAGAGTCAATGCAGAGCTAAAAAGAGGATGTAGCAGTCATTGACTGGAGAAGGAACTAGAACTTGACCAGACAGTCTTGAGTGTTCGGTAGGTAACTTCTGTGGTTACTCTCAAGTGTCTCTTACCCAGATTCTGCTGTCATCCCTGCACTCAAGCCTCTGCCAGGATTCAGATGGTCCTCTGGCTGAATTTGAAACACACGCATTAAATCCTTTTATGGTTAGGTATGGGCAATGCATATAGTTTCCTGACATTTTATAATAACTTACCTACATAGAAAAACTTTTGCGGTATCTACAGCAGATTTGGCAGGAAGCGCCCCGACTGAACTCTGAACTCTGTTACTTCTAGGATGGTCTAGGAAGCCTGCAGACCACGCTGTCTCCTTTTGCAGTAGTCAGAGGGAAAGGAAGTTGCCAAGGAAATATGTGTAGTATTGAGCTTGGAGCAGTGTACAGAATGGCAGGATATAAAATTTCATCTCAAAGGTCTCATTTAGTAAATGTCACTGCTGGCATGATAACAGCCTGGGTCATATGCATCCTATTTTAGTCTTCATTGGATGTTTGCAATGATTCAAAGGATCCTAAAATTTCAGGGTTTGTTCAGATTTTAGAGGTCATCTAGTCCAACCCTGTTTTAGTTTCATGTGAGCATTTAAATAGCATAAAGGTCATGAAAAGTGAAGTGAGGGGTCGCATGTTAGGTTCAGCCCAAAGACATTGAGAGACTAAATACTCAGCAGTAGAGGAGGGAATTTGATGGTGTCTCTAAGGAAAAATGTCATTGACCACAGTAGAATTCTAAAGCTGGAAGGGCTGTAGGTATCCTCATTTTCCAAAGCATGTTCTGGGGACTTCAATAGATGTCGGTTCAGAAAATAAGTTTGGGAAATGCCAAATTTAGAAGATTCCTTTACAGCAGGACTTTCAGAAGCCTCTGATGCATTAAATGCAGTGTGAATCTATCTGGTGCTGTGGGGTGGAGGAGGGGGAGTTTTTCCAAACTTATTTAACCATAACTTTATTTATATGAATATACTTAGAGAAATGCCATCACATTTAATTCCTGTATTTTACAGAGATGTATGGTTTTGTTTGACAAGTGACCACTCCCACCCTATAAGGTCACATGGCCAGCCAATGACAGAGTCAGAATTAGAACCTAGTCCCCAGATTCCCAGCTTTGTCTTACACCACAGTGCCTGTTTCCTTCCCATAATACATATCGAGCTCCTAAATGACAGAAACTACCTCGGGGCAGGGAGGGGGGTGGGGGAGGTGGAGGGGTGTGTGTGTGTGTCTCTCTTCCCCATCCCCTCCCCCAGCCCTCTAGCTGTAACCTGATGCTTTAGGAGCTGTGAGCTCTCAACAAATGGCTCTAGGCTTGAGTTCCCCAGTTGGTCTCCTTTGTTCCCAGGCTCTCCTGAAAGAGTGCCCTATGGGGTCTGGATAGACTTCCTTTCGTGTCTTAGATTCAAACTACCCAAAAAAAAGAAAAGCAAAAGAGGAAATTTCCAGGCAGTCCAGTGGTTAGGACTCCGTGCTTTCACTGCCGAGGGCTGGGTGGCACAATCAAAGAAAATAATAATAAGCAAAAGAATGAAAAAATTAAATAAGAGAAAGCCAAATATCCAAAGCCAGGATACATTGTATTAGTTTTCCATTCTAGTGACAAATACAAACTTGGTAGGGAAACAAGTTGCACAGTGTTAAATAATGTTTAATATTCATTTTGTTTCCTTTCTATACTGTTTATATGTTGACCTTTTATCAATTCGTGACAAGTAGAGCCCTTCTAAAACTGTTCCAACATAGGTTAACTAATAGAAATTTTAAAATTCAAGTACTATGTGGAGAATATGAGACGAGTTTCTGGTGTGTGTGCGTGTTTTCCCCAAAAACAGTCTCTTGGCAGGTAGTTAGCATGAACTTTTCCTCGGCCTTTGTGTTTGAATAGGGGTGGGAGTGCACTTAGTATTGTCTGTTACCTTCTGGTTTTTCATTTATGTGTCACAGAGTGCATCTCGCTTCCTTCCCACTGTACAGTTGCCAGGCTGTGTTGGGAAGCTGTTCTTTAGGGAGGTTACATCTGGTCTT